ATATATATATATATTGCATTCCCAATGAATTGTTTACATTCTGAGGCCTTCTCCTGGCACTGTGGTTTTCCAAACAAACTCCATCCGTATTCTGAGTATCAGTCTCTGAGCGGAATCTCTACAGACCAACAAGTCTGTCTGAGCTGCTGTCTGATTGTTCCTGAATCACAATATTTTTCTAACCTTACAGATTGTAAAATGACCTGCGAGTGCCTTGTTAGGTTTGTCTAAACGTGCATGCATGCTTTTCAGTGGACTCCTCATGACCAAATGCTTGTATGTTTGTAGTTTGAGCAGAAGCTCAAATAAAATCTTTACAGAGATCAGCGGACATTGGTTCCTTGGCCTTGGCCCTCATTATTTGGAACAATGACAGTCTGACATTTTGTTTTTGACTCATTTTGAAATTTGCTAAATACTAATGAATATGTTTGTATTGTTTATTTTCAAAGAACAAAAATTAGACATTTAAATCTTCTTTTAATGTCAATCCAACAGGTGATTTAGAAAAATGTCAGTTTATGTTATTTGGGATAATTCTAGATCTCGTCCACTTTGTTATTAGTTCCTGAACATCTTTTAGATCATAATCTGACTTGCTTTGATTTAAATTAGTCTTGTTTTCTGCAGTAAAAGGAAGGTAATGCTTGCTGTTGAGTGATCTTGAGGTGCTCTCCACTTTCTAATTTTTGCCTTTTTACCCGCCGTCTACAGTCCACCTTTTGCTTTGGTCTGCTTTGATAGGACGGATTTGACCTTATTTGACTCTAGTGACCCATTAGCATTGTGTTCTGTATTATATGATTTACCAGAGATAAGAACAATGACACAATTGCAAAACCGTCTACATAATACTCTCACAGTCTTTATTTGGGACCACGATGCTTATCGCAGCCCCGTGTGGTGCCACTGTGGCTCTGGTGCTTCTCTCTTTACCAGTGGTCTACCTGTGACCCATTCCTTCCCAGAAGCTTTTGCTTGCCCCACTCCCCCTTCCCAATAGCATTTCTAATAAATTCCTCTATCGTCATTGTCATGTTGACACAGCGAAGGATGTTGACATGTTAAATGGCTGAAGAGCGCCAGAAATAGCCCCGTGTGTGATTGTTTCTCAGAGAAAGGCTATTGTATGTCCATGGGAAGCTTCACAGTTGCAGGGTCTCTCAGCTGATTCTTTAATGTGACAGCCGCCACACCACACACACACACACACACACACACCTACACACACACACACACACACACACACACACACACACACACACACACACACACACACACACACACACACATCTTCACAGAGGTGGGTCATTTTGACAGTTGAATTTATTTATTTATTATTATTATTATTTACTCATCTTGCTTGCTGTTGAATTAGCAGCCCTTCCTATCTACAATATTTTATTTCTGTCGCGTGTCTTTGAGACACATTCTACATGACAGGTGTTTAAGCTTTTATTTTAYATCAAATATTATTTTACGTAAAAAGCTAATTCCATATCCTGAATAAGTTGATTATTCCACGTTGTTTTTCTGCAGTGGCTGAGGTGCCACAGTCCTGTTCATAACTGTGAAAATGTATGTGTTTTTTGTGTATTTTTGTACCAAAAGGTACTTGTATTTGTACCTTAAAGGCTGTTAAAGGTAATTTGCTGGCTTAGAAATGTGGTGGCAACAGCACATTAGTTTTGTTGTTTGATGAGAARATAATATAGAGTCAATTTTGGAGCAATTAAAAAATTAAGACACCTTGGATAATCCATTTAGTTTAAAAAATAATATTATGCTCTGCATACTTGCAGATTTTTTTTATTAAAATACACGTCAAATGATTAAAACACACATTGTGCATTACAGATCTTCTACAAAGTCACCAGAGAGATTTTTCCTGGAGAGGAGCTGCTACTTTTCATGAAGGCTGAAGAATATCCATGCGACACAATGGCTCCTGATATTCACGGTCTGCACCAAACACACACACACACACACACGCACACACAAAAAAAAATAAAATATTTAATTCTCTCATTTCGAAACACCCAAAATCCTCATTTGGTTTTCCTTTTGACTCCACAGAGGAGAGGCAGTATCGCTGTGAAGACTGTGACCAGAACTTTGAGTCCCGCAGCCAACTGCTGGACCACCAGAAGCAGCCGTGTGGGATGCCGCCCTCTTCCTTTCTTAATCCAGGTATGATTTAAGTTTCTAAATAAGTGTGCCCAGCAAATGCCACTGTAAACACTGAATTAGGCCGTGTAACCAGAAGGATGAATAGCTGAAGAGGGGGAATAAATTTATGAAAGCTACTGAAACTGGAATTATACAGTAAACTGTGTCGATGAGTCTACAAGCAGGCTTTAACTGTTTCATTCCTCAGCTTTAGATAAATACAAAAGAAGGAAAGTGGTTTAGTAGATCATTGTTTACAATATGACGAATAAGACAAAACAAATACAGCTGCCAAGGCATGAGCCATTATGAGATCCTGCCAGTATAACTGTTTAAAAATGCCACAAATTATATAATTTAAACAAGCATTCCAAAACAAATAGGCTTTCATGACTATGGCTAAAATGGCATGTTAACCACTATAATAATACTATAGCCACATGATATTATAATAAATATAGATTTCTAGTTATATCTCTTTTTATTTGATTTACCTATGTTTAGTTCATTCACTATTGAAATACCAGAGAGTCAGAAGACTGTTATTTAGCAGATGTACACAATATTGCAGGACCTAAACAACAATATAGAAAAGATCTATTTATTTATCATTCTTAAATAAAAGTACTTTTTTATTTTTTAGTATTCTGCTAGTAATGTTGGGAGTCTGACAAGCTATTGTTAGGTAATTAGTTAGCCAGATTATTAGCCGTAAATGTAATTTATCACCCAGTGCCTGCAGAAATGCTAGGACAAGCCAATTGATTCCCTTATTTGTAACAAAGTGAAACTTTTTTTTTTTCCATTGAGACAAGCAGGACATGGATTAAAAAAACAAGTATGAGATGTTTCAAAAAAATCCGTTTGAATTTAAAGCAGGAGTTTGGTAGCTTTTATGTGACATGTACCACAATTATTTCTCTATGATGTCTGAATGGTTATATTTTTATTAAAGTTTTCTGCAGGGTATGCTTATGCTTTCTCTCATTTTCACAGGAGGAGACAGTGACCTGAAAGCTCAAGAGCCTCAAGATTTGCGGCCCCTTCATATGTCTCATGGCCTGCATGAGTGTAAGGACTGTGACCAGGTCTTCCCTGATGTCCAGAGGTACATTTTATATGTGAATACAAAATGGATATTTCTTGCAAATGTTTAGATTTTTCTTAGCTGTTTGGAAAGATAAAAAGAATCGTTCATTGACATTTCAAGTTTTGGCTTCTCTGTGCTTTTTTTTTAGCCTGGAGGCCCACATTCTGTCACACTCCGAGGAGCGGGAATATAAGTGTGATCAGTGTCCCAAGGCCTTCAATTGGAAATCAAACTTGATCCGACATCAGATGTCGCACGACAGTGGCAAGCACTACGAATGTGAAAACTGCTCAAAGGTAAAGTGATGGCCTTTGAAAGGACTGCTTTATAAAGCAGCCATTTATGTTTTGCCCACGTGTTTGTTTGGAGTTCAGTTTGGTTTTTTTTTTTTTTTTCTCTTTTTTAAGGATCAGATAATAACTCTGCCGTGTGTGTTTGTGGTTTCTTCCCCCAGCAGGTGTTCACAGACCCCAGTAACCTACAGAGGCACATTCGCTCGCAGCACGTCGGGGCTCGTGCCCACGCCTGCTCCGACTGCGGCAAAACCTTTGCAACGTCTTCGGGCCTCAAGCAGCATAAGCACATCCACAGCAGTGTCAAGCCCTTCATGTGTAAGTCACTAAGACCCTACCTATGTAAGTCTCTTCAGTACATTATAACAATAACATGCTTTGACTTGACTTTATTAGAAACACTGATGATGTTGCAGAAATAGAAATTTGTCTTTGATCAGCTTTTTTCTCATGTTCTACAGGATTTACACTGACAGTTTTTGTCATTTTTCTGTGTAGTGTAGTTTTTCACGCAGTTGTTTTTTTTTCTCTGCATCAGCACTCTCACACACTGTTTCTGTGATTATCTCAGCATGTTGCTTGTCATAAGCAAGCCATGTCAATGTGCTGGAGATGCTTCAGCTCACAGCCTTTTAGTCTTTAAGTTTCTTTCCCACTTAATCATACACTCATGTCCTCTCTCGTCGGTTAGCTCCAGCAAGACCTAAACACATTTTGACCTTTCACACTTTTCAGCACCACCACGAGAGATTGGATCTCCTTCCCCCTAAAGCATTATGATCTTTCCCCTTTGCCCTTTCTCCCTTTCCCTTTTTTCCCCCAAACTTTTGCACACATGCTGCCTCATCCAGATCTGCCTGAATGCTTAATAGACACAGTACCGTTCTGAAGCACGTATATGCATAGACAGGAATGACTGCATCTCCATCGAAGACCTCATTATTCTGTTCGCTCTCCCTTTTCTGCCTCACCACGTTCACCATTCCTCACAAATAGCAACCACATGTATGGCCCTGCGAATAGTTCATTTGCTGTAATCAGTAGAAGAAAATGCAGGTTTAAAAACAACTAATGGCTGTGTTGAAAAAAAAAGAAAAAGAAAAACGCAGCCTCAGACATGACAGCTGTCTGGACAAGATTATGCATTTGAGTGTTTGTTTGACGGACTTCTCTTGAAGRACATTTATATTTTTTCTGAAAGTATAAAGTATGCGCTTGAATGTTACTGCACGCAATATGTCTGGGATGCATCTGTTTTAATGCTTCTCTTATTCACAATTAGTTATCTGTCGTTCTTCTCTCATAGATGTGTTTTTCAGGTTTATTACAGTTGATGATTACGTGCATGCTGTGTAATGCATGTGTGCTGGTGGTCTATGAATGTCAAAGTTTCATGATTTATGATTAAATCTTAGAGTATGCTAAGGCCCTGTGGATACTCAAATAAGGATTAAAACACACAAAGTGAAAAACAGCTATATTGTATATATTTGTTCCTATCTTTTGCTTGTTTTTACTGAAAATGATTTCTCCACACACCTTCCCACTTTTGTTTGCTCATTAGGGTTGACTTCTTTGTGGGATGACATTCACACTCGGCTCAACTTGTGATCATTCGGAGTTTTTCTGGGTTGTTTGTTTCAATCTGCTTCCCAGATATTTTTTTCTCTGTTCTTTTTCTCAAACTTCTTGAACTGCCTCCTGTGCACCTTGTGCCTGGAAGACATCCAAAGTATGCTGAAGCGCAATCAGAGTCCAATGCCTCACCACTTCCTGATTCTCATTTTGTACGTTTAATAACAGTGTGAGCAAAAATCGATCATATGTCTCCATCATCAACAGCTGAAATGAATAATCAAAGACTTTTTGATATAATTATTGTAGTTCAGCCATTTCAGATGATCCAAAATTCTGAGCTGTGGGAGTCAGCAATAAAAGGGTAACTCCTCTCAAAAGAATAACAAAAAGAAAAAAAATGTCCAGTGTAAACTTGTTGCTCTTCCAAAGCCTTCCACTGGTATTAGATAAAGTTGACAGATTGATTGCAATGATAAAGTCAGACATGAGTTTTGTTTAGGGGTCGGGTGTTGTTGAACATCAGGGTCAGACAGATTGACAAACGGGCCCACAAGGATTGGTTGTGGGAAGGTCACTTTGTGCAGAACGACATGGCCCCAGCTATGGGGACAAGGTGAGGGGGCTGCAGGGTCAGCTCAAGAAGCCCAGAGGAGCGGGGTGGGGAGAAGCAGCAGAGGACGTGAGACCTGTCCCTGGGAACTGAACTGCAGGATAGGATTCATTCAACTCCACTTCCTTCACAAACTTAAAATAGAACCATTGTACTGCATGTGGCTGAGAAAGCGTGTGTGTGTGTGTGTGTGTGTGTGTGTGTGTGTGTGTGTGTGTGTGTGTGTGTGTGTG